CCCCATCCCCCCCCCCCCCCCCCCCCCCCCCCCCCGCTGCCTCTCTCTGATAGAGGCAACAAGGGAAAGGGGAAGCAACTAGCTTATGCTTATCGGATAGTCAACTAGTCGCTTACGTCCCTATCCTGTTCCTCATAGAAACAGTAAGCGGGGGAGGATGCTGCAGGGAATACGGGACCAGCTGGAACTCAAGTAGTCCCTGCTGGCCCTGTGTTCCCACTGAGGCACTTCAGCCTTTGAAATATACAAGAGCCCAAAGCACTGCAGTGGGAATTAGCACAAGCAGGGACTGCTTTAGTCCCTGCTTGCACCCCTGCCTCTTCCCCCCCCACCATGAAAACATGCTGGGGGGAGTCTGTTTTTAAGCCATACTCCCCCCCTGCCCCTTGCTGCCTCTCTCTGATAGAGGCAGCAAGTGGGGGGAAGCAACTAGTCAGTCACTATTCGACTATCTGATAAGCTTGTGCTTATCGGAGAGTCGACTAGTCGCTTACATCCCTATAGAGTACTTGTGCTAGCATCACAATGTGGAGGAAGGTAATTTTATTACTGTAGTAAATGTGTTTTTAAAATATTTTTGCATTGAGTTGATTAATGTGTACTCTCTTCTCATTACAGCACTGAATGCAGTAACCATTTCTGAGGAGGCTATCATATCATGGTGAAATATTGTGCAGCATATAACTGCAGTAATGCAGACACCAAGTTAAATTGGAAGCAGGGAATAACTTTTCATAGGTGAGCCTGAAGATCCTGGATATCAGTGTATTCTAACTGCTAGGGATGTAAAATCCTGTGTAATTGGTTAACCTGTTAAATATATTGTTTAACTGAGTAAAAGGGGCAACAGGCAGGGATGTTGCTCCAGCCCAGCTGGAGTGCTCCCTCCACTCACTGCTGGAGCCTCTGTCCACAACGGGCTCCCCTTGGGGCTGGAGCAACCCCCTGCCTATGGCTGGAGCTGGTTAACTTGTTTAACATTCACATCCCTATTAATTGCAGGTATTGCAGACTTTGGGTGGAATCTTGGGTAAACTCCCATTGACTTCAGTAGGGATTTTACTCTCTAAGTATTTTGACCAAGCAAACTACTTGCAAGCCTAGTTTTCCAAAGTAACCATGTGATGCTAGTCTCTAGCCCAGTGTAAGCCTTACCTTCTGGCTGATTTAATTAAATGCAGCACTTGCTGTCAAGAATTGGTAAGGAGCAGTGATTGAGAAGTGTCATTTCAGCATACAAAAAAACAGCAGCACAGCTAAGTGAGCACTGGCAATTGTGGGGGCTAGGTGTAGGGAGATGGAGCTCAGGGCAGGGGACTGGGTGTAGGGAGGTTGGGCTCAAGGCAGGGGGCTGGGTGTAGGGGGTGCAGGACTCAAGGTAGGGCTGGAAATGTCAAGGTTTGGGAGGTATGAAGGGCTCAGGACAGAGTGTTAGGGTGTGGGGGGGCCTCAGGCAGGAGGTTCAAAGTGTGTATGAGGAGTTCAGGACGGGATTGGGGTGAGCATATGTGTGTGGAGGGTGGAGAATGGGGTGGAAGGCTTGGAGTGGACAGTCCCCGTTGGTGACCATGTCCTGCGATGCTCCTGTGCCATGCCAAATGGGAGCTGTGGGGGCAGTGCTATTAGGCGTGGGAAGGGAGCTCTAAGGGTAGGCGAGGTGCTGCAGTACCTCTGGAATCCTGGCTCAGCACCTGGGATCCTGGATGTCAGCCCTGTTTACCTGGGGCTCTCCAGCCGCTGGCCTCAACTTTGGGTGGAGGAAGGACAGCATTAAAGTTCTGTCCCCAGCCAACCACTTTCTTAACAGCGTGCTGAAATTGGCTGCATCAGCTTACTTTCATCTGTGGCAGCAACCCGATTAAAAGCAATATTCAGTAAATGAAATGCATAAAGTTGTTTAAATTAAAAGAGAAGACATTTGTACCATGGTATTAAAAAGGAATTATATAGAAGAAAAAAGCCATGAATGACAGAGAAAAAGCTGAGAAGGGCAGTGGGAGAGAAGTGAGGATTTACAGAGCTGATTTTAATGCAGAATGAGTTGTGTTTAGTTTTGTATCGCATGTTATTCATTTTCACTAACTGTAGCCTCACCATAAGCTACCTGAGAGAGGGAACTGTTGCTATCTCTGGTTTATAAACTGGGGATGAAGCAGGGGCAATGGAGAGGGGAAGATGCAGCCACTTCTGAAAATGTGTGTCACTTCTGGCTGCCATAATTTTGGGGTGTTCAGCTTTAGAAATAAAGGCTTGGGAGTGCAGAATGCCCTTATTAGCTCAAATGAGAATTTTAGGTATTCAGCACCTCTGAAGAAGGCGGCTGCTTTTGAATGTTTGAGGCTACACAATGAGCTGGGCATGGTCTGAATGATCTTTTGAATCTGTCTCCTTCTCTAAGCACTCATTCTGGTGCCATACTATGATGTTTCCCACATTTTGGTGACTTCCTGACCCCAAAATTATTTATGCATGGTCTTTTATTATTAGTGTATTTAAAATATGGCCTTCAAAAATTCTTCTTTTTTTACCCTTAAGCTTGGAGGGACAAAACAACTATTGCCAAGCATATTGTATAGTATTCTGAAAATGTTTAACTCTATCTCTGTTTACTAATAATTTGGGTCTTATGCACATAGGTGGGAGAATAATAGTCCCTATCTTCCTTGACTCTACCTCCCTCTTCTTCCTAAGCATTGTGTACCCTTCTTTGCCTCCTCAGAGCCTTCAAAAATCTTCTCCTTTCATGAAGCATTCCCATTTTCTTTCTCACTGCTTGGGCATCTGTGTCTTTTTGCTTTTGTATTGTCTGTTGTGTTGCCCCACTTTGAGTTAGATGGAAACCTCCTCCAAGCTGACACTTGGTCTATGAATTTTTACTAGAGAATCATCTACACTAACGTTTTTTCTTGCTTGGACTCTGACAATTATTATATCATTTTAAAAGCATAACTGATTCTCTCTATGTGGAGTGTGGGAACTGAATGGCGTGAAATTAAGTAGAACTAGGCTTGTGAATGTGACATGCATATCCCAGAAACTAAGAAATGGAAATAAGTCCATTATCATCCAGTAAATTCCCTGAAGCTAATGAGCAATCATTTTCTGCAGTACACTCTTCAGTGCTTTGTCCAGTCCATTTAAAATGTCTTAATTGATAAGTTCACCATTTACAAAGAACATATGAACACTGTATGTGTGAGATTGTGTTGTGAGAGCCTTAGACTGTATCTAGTGAACTTAGAAGATGTATTTACGTTACTACTTCCACTCTTTTTATCCAGCTGGACATTTTAATAAGGGAATATGTGTTTCTCACAAACTTCTCTTTTCAAATCCAGTGAGTAACTGGTATGTTCTTTTTAGTTTTTATTTTACAGAGCTGCTACCCTCATTAAATAATACATGTTGAATCTTTTTAGTCCAGCACTTTCTGATCTTGAAACATCCATGGTCTGTTATGATTTTAATTAGTCAGATGTCCACTTATCATGGATGTGGCTAAGTTTCCCACAGTCCCATCAAATTTGTTTGGTGCCACCAATCCTGGCGCTCAGTGTTCTGTGCTGTTATTTAGCTCTAATTTACCCCTTTGGCTATGTCTACACTCGCAGCTTCTTGCGCGAGTAATATGGAAATGAGGCTAAGCGTGGAATATCGCTGAGCCTCATTTGCATACCTAATGAGCCACCATTTTTTCAGAAGAGGTTCTTGCGCAAGAAGGAGAGTCTACACTGCCCCTCCTTGCACAAGAAAAACTCTCTTGCGCAATGCCGTTACATCTATTACTTTTCAGGAATAACAGCATTGCGCAAGAGGGGTTTGCTTGCGCAAGAAGGGGCAGTGTAGATGCTCCTAGTTGCGCAAGAGCCTCTTCTGAAAAAAAAAAAAAGGTGGCTCATTAGGTATGCAAATGAGGTTCGGCGATAGTCCACGCTTAGCCTCATTTGCATATTACTCGCGCAAGAAGCCGCGAGTGTAGACATAGCCTTTATGTCTTCTAAGAGCCCAATAAGCAGTGGAAGTGCTGGTAATGCTGCTAGACAATATTTGATCTCCTATGGCTTGGCAAATTCTCTGGTTTGGCACCAGTCAGATCCTAAGGGTGCTGGACTAGAGAGGTTCAACCTGTACTTTGAAATATTTTAGCTCCTTTTTTTCCTCTGAGATTCTTAAAGTGGTTTACAAATGTAGGTGAGAATTATTATCCCTAGCTTGGAGAGGGGCAAACTGAGACGCAGAGACTGCTCATGTGCCCTTGGGCAAGTGACAGTCAGCTGGCAAGTGGGGAATAGAATCTAGGTCCCCTAACTCCCAGTCCATGTCCTGTGTGGTTCTGTGGTCCCAACTCAGCAAGGTACTTAAAACTGTGCACTTGCTGAAGAATATGAATTGTCCCATTGACTTTAATGGTGTGTGTGGGTAACACCACCCCTTACTAAAGTACAATTACTAAACAAAATCCTGCTCATGTTCTTTGATCTGCAAACTTTGTCATTTCTGTTTTAGGTTTCCCAAAGCTAATAAGAAAAAACAACAGTGGGCCCAAGCAGTACAACGGGCTGACCTTGTGAGTGGCAAACTCTGGACTCCATCTGAATGGGACATGATTTGTTCTCTGCATTTCAACCCTGAATGCTTCAAAGAAACAAATGGGAAGAAATTTTTAAAAGAATGGAGTTGTCCTTCTATATTTTCCTTTCCTGACAATTTTCAGGTATAAAATATACATCTGATATATATACATACTACATATATATACATATTACACAATATACACAATATATTGTGTGATTTCATTAAAAAAACTGATTCATTATCAAGTGAAGTACACAACCACCTTTGGTGGCAAGTTTTTGGAGTGACTTTTCACAGAGTGCTATACTGTTATTCAAACCTTTAAGTCATCTAAAAATAGCTTTAATAAAATCTTAGGGCGAGAGTGTTGAAGTGTCAGAGACAATGTGGCTACGTCTACACTGCCCAGTCTTGCACAAGACCATATGTAAATGAGGCACAGCTATTAATATCGCCGCACCTCATTTGCATACTTAATGAGCCACCATTTTTTGTACAAGAGGCTTTTGCACAAGAAGGAGCAGTGTAGATAGCTCCTTCTTGTGCAAAAGCCCCTTGCACAAAATGGTGGTCCATTACGTATGCAAATGAGGTGCAGCGATATTTGCCACCGTGCCTCATTTGCATATGTTCTTGCGCAAGACTGGGCAGTGTAGCCATAGCCTGTATGTATATCAGTGGTTAAACTTCACATTCTGGAAAAGTAATCAGATTTTTAAAGGAAAAGCAATGTCCTTCTGCCTGATTTAGATTCTTTCAGCCGATGTTGTTTTTCTTAAAAATTAGGATTGTTAAATTTGTCACAGTATGGATGACATTCACTAGAGTGTTTCTAATGGATAGTTTTTCTTTCTATGGTATTTATCCTTCGCATTCACATTTATAAGAAATTTATAAGAAAATTTACTCACACGTATGTGGGCCACATCTCAGCATCTCTGTGGCAACTTCTGCAGTCTGCCAGGCTCTTTCCTAACAATGAGCCTGATCTGATGCACATAGAGGCAGATGTGTAGGAGGAGGAGTCAACACCTAATTTATAAGCCTGGCTTTGATGAAGACTCAATTGGGACTAAGGATGTAAAATCCCAGTTAATCAGTTAGCAGGTTAACATAATGTTTAACCGGTTAAGTGTGATTTTGGTGCTCCAATCCTCCAGCCCCCATGGTGGGAGCTCAGGCCGGGGACTCGAGCTGCTGGCTCTCAGCCTCAGTCATGTAGGACTGGCTGCTGGGGCTGGAGCAACCCTCTGCTCATGGCCTAGGCTGCTCCCAGGTAACTGGTTAACTGGTTACCTATTCACTTTCTATAACGGGCACCAATCTTAGTTCTGAGAGTTCAATTTCTCTCCAAGCTTCAATTGCATTCTTTGTTTTGTAGAAAACAGATAATTCTCTAGAGATCAAAGAACTCTCAATGTGCAGGCATATTTCTAGGAAATCCTCCTCTGAAGGCAGATCCCAGCGTGGTGTATGTCACGGCAGCCATGATAACGGTAAGCATCAGAACTGTGGCCGAATGCCACATGATCCTTTTGTAGTAATGGCCAAGTCTGTGTTAATTTGAATAGGACAAATATTTTCTTATTTTAGCATTTACAAATGTCTGTATTGCTGTGCTTTACTGGTCTTAGGGCAGTGATTAATATTGGATAAGCTTACTGGAAAAGAAAAAATATGAAGTTGTAAATATGTTGTAAAGTGTGCTTGTGTAGGGCTTGCCATGAGGCAACAGATATCTGCCATGGAGCATTTAAAAAACATAGAGTGAAAGCCTGGCTCCACTAAAAACTATAATAGCTCTGCCATTGATCTTAATGGGGTCAGGATTTCACCCTTTGTGTGCAACTACTGGAAGAAATTTTGAGGAGAAATAGACGTTAGGAAAACCCATCTGTCTTTCAATAACTTGTCTAATACACAACAAAATAATGTTTACGTTGAGCCATGAAGCATGTGAGTCATGCAACCATATGTGAGTGCATATGAACTGGTCTGAAAGTGGGCGTTTGAGTTTCCAAGTTTATACAGGACCACTATTTCTCACTGCTGCTGGAGAAGCTGAAAAGTTTTGTTTTTTAATTGAGAAAGAGCTGTAGCAGGCTACGCCTCCCTTCCCCTCCTCTCACTCCATTTGGGCTTTCATAAGGGGGGAATTAAATTTCTCTGCTGTTTGCTTTTGTAGAAAACAGCTAACAACCCAACAAGATTAACAGAAAACTTCAGCTGTTCTCCTGAGGTAGACAACAGGAGGGATGTGCAATACACAGGACACCGTAATGGTAAGCATCAAAACTACACTGGGTTATAGACTTTCTCCTTTTACTTTCTGAATTTCTGTTTTAGGCTTTTAAAAGTGTTCACTTGCTGACACTGAGTTCAGTCTTAAAGCCCTTATACGTGCAAAACTCTTATTGACTCTACGCTATCCATGAGAATCTTAGTACAGGTTGAATCTCTTTAGTCTGGAATCCTCAAGAGCTGACCAGCACCAGACCAGAGAATTTTCTGGATCACAGAAGGTCAGTATTTTCTGGCAGAATAACAACATACCACTGCTTATGGGGCTCTTAGAAGATACTTAGGGGTAAATCAGAGTTAAATAACAGCAACAGAACACAGAGCCAGGACTGGTGGCTGTAAACAAACTTTATATGACTGTGGGGAAATTTCGTCACCCATGATTAGTGGACATTTGGCTAATGTACATCATTCTGGACCATGGATGTTGCTGGACTACAGGCAGTCCCCGGGTTACGTACAAGATAGGGACTGTAGGTTTGTTCTTAAGTTGAATCTGTATGTAAGTCAGAACTGGCGTCCAGATTCAGCCGCTGCTGAAACCAAACTTTATATGACTGTGGGGAAATTTCGTCACCCATGATTAGTGGACATTTGGCTAATGTACATCATTCTGGACCATGGATGTTGCTGGACTACAGGCAGTCCCCGGGTTACGTACAAGATAGGGACTGTAGGTTTGTTCTTAAGTTGAATCTGTATGTAAGTCAGAACTGGCGTCCAGATTCAGCCGCTGCTGAAACTGACCGCCA